TAGTCAAGAGTTTATAGCTTACTGGCAGATGAGAAGTCATTCTTACATATGTCACCCCTACACATACTTCCCTGAGTCTAATGTGTAGCATATCATTGTAATATGGAAAGAGAAAACACCTCAGAGAACTCAAGTGAGCTAGTGGTGTATAAACTGCACAGTGAGGCCAACGGCCAGCCTACAGAGTAGAGCATCAGGGTCACCAATGAACAATTATCACAAACATCCTATTTATCTTACAAAGAGAAAAGTCATAGTTACCCCTTCTTTAATCAGAGGAAGATTAAAATGCACGTCTGCTATCTGCTTTATTTTAAGGTAAAGTCAACTAACAATTTATTTATGCTTCACTTAGGGGAGTGGTGTATCATATACTCCTAAGCTGAGAGCTTCCAAATTCCTTTGTGGAAGAGGACTTGGCTATCATCATCATGATGAAATAAAATGATTGCCCTAGGTCTTTTACAAAATATTAAAACTCCTATAAATAAACCCTAGACGCCTGAAAAGTAATTGATTCAACAAAAGAGAAAGAAATGATAATGGCACTACTTTGGCCTGCTCTCCAATGATGTTTTTCATGGCACTGGGGCTGAAGCCTAGAGCTTCAGATAAGTATGTGCTAATACTGAGCTAAACCCCTCACCCTAACATGCTTATTTTAATAAGGGCCACCAAAGCAGAAGATCTTTTTTTCTTCTCCCTTCCTGGTACTGGAGAATGAACCATGAACCTCACATACTGTAGGCAAGTAATCACCTGCTGAGCGATAGCCCTAGCCTCTACTCATTTCATTTTATTTTTGAGTCAGGGTCTCTGTAGCTTGGCTGGCCTAGAACTCTCTATGTAGATTAGGCTGGCCTCAAACTCATAGAGACCTGCCTACCTCTGCCTTCTGTGTGCTGGGATTAAAGGTGTGGACTACTATGCCTAGGCAGTGCTAACATTTTATAGGAATATTATTCTGGTTTGGGGAAATATTAGTATTTTAAAATCCAATCTAACTTCTGCTTAAAGACTGTAAAGCTTTTTTGAGGACAGTCTGGTCTACATAAGGAGCTTCAGGCCAGTCAAGGCTACATATTGAGACCCTGTTTTTCAAATCTAACCAAACAAAAATGTTACCATTGTGCTGGGTTCCACAGCACATATACTGAACAACACAGACTAGAAAAATAACAGCACTAATGTGTGGTAGTTGATGCCTGTACCTAACACCACGGAGGTAGAGGGAGAAGATACAGACAAGGCTATCCTCTGCTACAAAGTGAGTTCAAGACCAGCGTGGAACCCATGAGACCTGACCTCAAAGAAACATTAAAAATAAATAAATAGCTGGGCAGCCTGGTCTCTTGAATTGGAGACCAGCCTGGTCTACAGAGTGAGTTCTAGAACAGCCAGAGCTACACAGTGAGACCCTGTCTTGAAAAACCTACCCCGCTAACAAAATAAAAAAGGAAAAGGGAAAATATGTTTGAGCATCATGTCTGTATAAGAAAGACAGTGGACCATGAAAATCTTATATTCATGGTAAAAGTCCTGTTAAAAGAAAATAAACCAAATGTCCTTTTTCTTTGATAGTACTAAATCATCTCTATAAAATGTAATCAAACTAGAAGAAATTCATTAAGTACTAACTTAGGGATAAATTGAAGCAGGGAGATGGTAAGTTCAAAGGTCAAGTATCAAGATCCTGTCTGAAAGTAACTGTGAAAGGGCCCTAGCCATGTAGCTCAGAGTTCTTGGTCCAGTTTCCAGCACGTCCTGCCCTCTTCAAAGAAAGAGCACTTTACTGGATGGAGAAAAACCGAGCACACCAATCTGGCCATGAGCTCTAAAAGGCATTAGTGTTAATATTCAGGCATCTGGACTGGCCTGTCCTTGGGGTTCTGACAGGATATGCTCTCAGCTGCAGCCACTAAAAGCACCACCTGTGCACATTCACTATGTTCCCTTTAAAAGGGCCCTGCCCACCTCCCCTCCTCCCCTCTCCCTCTGCACCCCCCCCATTCTTGTCCCCAGAGGCCAGTCTCTCCCCTCCCCTTTTCCCTTTTTATGATCCCTTTCCCTAATAAAAACCCCTCTGCTTGAACCCTGCCACGTCTTCTTTCTCGAACTCCACTTTTCTTACAACAATTACTAATTTGGTAACCGATATATTTAAAACCAATCTAAACTAAGAAAGATCCTTTGAATTCCCTTTCCATCCAGACAAGCTGGAGGGCCCGAAGTTTTGCAACCAAGACATAGGTGCACTGCAACAGGTCACATGAACCATGCCACAGGGACACTGGCTATTATGCCATAAAGACACAGATGTCACACAGACACAAGCAAGGGGTGTTACAAATACCAAAGAGCCTAGGACAGTAGCTCACAGACAGCCTAAATTGCGGCCAGTTATCAGATGAGAAAAAGAGGATTAACAGAAAATGAGTCCGGAGAAACAAGACATGGACTCTAGGAGCACCATCCAGACATGTGGGTGGGACAACAGGGTCAGTTCTAACACGCACACCACCTGTCAGGGGGCGGAAGTGGAAGGGGCCTTTGGATTAGCTAACCTGGTACGGGAATCCACACCAACAAGTAGCCACCATATGGGAAATGTACTCCAGAACACAAAACCAGTATTTCACAGAAATGGTTTAGATGGAAAAGAGTACAGAGAACATCACTGCTTTGTGCTCAACACAACACTAACATAGGTGGCCCAAGGAAGGACCAAAAAGTAGCTGAGCAGAGAGTGAGTGTGGCGTGAAGAGCTCACCGACCGGAGTTTCTGGAATTGGACAGTGTCGACTTTGCACGAGTTTTTGTGGGTGCGCGTGCAGAGGGGAGTTTTAGGGTCACGAGTGCAGAGCGGAGACCGGAGCTCCGGCAGCAGCCTAGCAAAGGCGGCCGGCTCTGCGGACGTGGCGGGCGGCGGCCAGGGCGAGGCCCGGTTCTTCCTCATCCGTCGCCGCCCCCCTCAGGCCCCGGCCGCTGCGCGGCCCTCGCCCTAGCCCGCTGCTCTCCGTACCTGCCTTTCCCAAGCCACAGTTCCAGCGGCCCGCGGAGCCGTCGCCCTGTGAGGGCCGGAGGGCCATCCCCGGGGGCCCGGGCCCCAGCCCGAGCCCCGGCTGGCGGCGGAGCCTGAGACGCGGCTTCCACCGCGGGTGTAACCCCACTGCGGCCGGGACAGGCTGGTCTCTGTCGGCCTGCGACGCGCAGGCGCGCAGACAGCCACGCCCCCACGTGACCTGCGTCTGTGTGAGGGCGGGGCTGGGGCGCGCGCATGCGGCTTGACAATGGAAACACAGGTGCGGAGGGTGGGCTCTGAGAACTTTGTTATGCGTGCTGGACCACATTTTGTTACTGCTTTTGTTTTTATTATCCGTGAAATAGTTGTGAAAATAAAATACTGAATTCACGAGGCTGAACACTGCCAAGCTCCAAGGTTATGCGCAGACTTTCGCTTACCAAGGCTTTACCTCCTGTCATCACCCGGTTTCCCGAGTTTATCAGGGTCGCAGTGTGCAGCTCCGCCGGCTGTTCTCGCACAAGGCTGGGGCAGGGCCACCATTCACGCAGATGGTTATAGAGCACCGCGCCCTCGCTGAGTTGTGCGAAGCAGTGGTCCTTTGGTCAAAATACGGGACGGATCAGGCCTTTGAGCTCCACTTTACCTACGGTGTTTCTAACTGGACACACACTGAAACCCAAGCTCAGTGATGCCGGAAAGTCATCCCTCGGATAGGTCATCCCCAGAGACTGCCTTATCTCCCAGATCTGTAGTGAGGATGCTCCCATTAGTCTAGTTGCATGAGCTTCTCCAGCCTCACTGCTACTATCTCCGCCTCCTCCCCTCCCCCCAGTTAGGGTCATCCCCAGACAATGTCGCGCCACCTAGATATCCAGTGAAGAAGCTCCCATTAATTTAGTTGTTTGATGAGCTTCTCCTCTAGTCTGACTAACTACTTTTTTTCCTTATAAGTATTGGTCCCTCCTGGTTCCATATCCTCCTCTCTAGCCCAGATTCCAAGGTTCACACCTTTACGCTGAAAGCCTTTCCTTTCTTACCTTCCTCTGCCCTCTCTCTCCTCCCTCCTTCCCTCCCCTCCCCCTCTCAGCCAAAGTAGGTGGATGGACATTTCTGAGGTTGTCCTGTTTTCATTCAATCACACACACATATAAGGATTCTCCTCTCTCTCTCTCTCTCTCTCTCTCTCTCTCTCTCTCTCTC